CACACACACACACTGTTCCGATGAAAGCAATTTGCAGGGATCAGCTTCCTTCAAGCATCACCAACACTTCCATCTGCCAAGATGGGGACTGTTAAAGCCCTAACCCTCGTCTCCCTGAATGCCTCCTGTCTTCCCTACTTAATTCCTTTCCCGGGCCCAGGGATACTCCATCCCCCTACCACTGGCATGTTGAATGGCATCAATTTTTGATATGGGGCTGTCCTGTGCGCATAAGAATGTTTCCTTTCCCGGGCCCAGGGATACTCCATCCCCCTACCACTGGCATGTTGAATGGCATCAATTTTTGATATGGGGCTGTCCTGTGCGCCTAAGAATGTTTCACGGTATCCCTGGCCTCTAGGTGCCACTATACCACCTCCCCAACTCTGACAACTAAACATGTCTCCAGCCATTTGTCCTTGGGAGCAGGGGAAGATAACATCATACCTGGCTGTGAATGACAGCTCTGGTGGGGTACCTGCTAGAAGGGGAGGGGCTCCATTTGTACCTTTCACCAGAACACCAGGTGAGAAAGACGCATGGGAAACCCCCATTCTAAGAGAAGTTGTCTCAAACTCCACCAGACAATACTGCTGAAAACAGAGCCCTCTGGCTACAGGACACGGCCACAGCTGTAGTTACAGAGCCAGGGGACAAAGGGGGCAGACAGGCTGTCTGGAGCAGAGACCATGCGCAGAGCTACAGTCTGAGATGCCACCTGGAAGTCAGACTGCAGTCCAAGGAAGACAACCTGACCTGTCCACACAGGCTTCAGGAGGAGCTCCGACCCCCCCAACCTGGCACAGACCCCTTAGACATAAGGACAATGTGCCCCAAACTCCCTGAGAGTGGCTGCCTCAGAGGAAGCCCGGGTGATACTGTGGGTTATGCGTTGGACCCCACCGTCCGCTCTGAGAGAAAAAGCAGGCTGTCTGCTCCTGTGAAGACCAACAGCCAGGGTAACCCTAGGGGGCAGTTCTACTCTGGCCTTCCTAGAGGGCACTATGAGTTGGAATCAACTGGGTGGCCATGGGTTTAGTGGACCCCAGAAACTAGAGGAAGTGGCTATCACTTTCCTGCTCTGATTCCCAAGCCCTCAGGGGCAGCAGCGGCCGGATGTAACATGTGAGTGTCTGAGTTTTCTGGGAGAGCAGCCATTGTGGGTCAGGTGGGAGAAAGCAAAGCAAGCTGTGGATGAATTTCTCCAGTTCCCACTGACCAAATTCAGGGGTCTCTCACACAGCAGCTAGCCTAAACTCCTAAATTCCTTACCCCCCAAGTACTCATGGTGAGCGGGGGCAGGCCTCTAAACCCTTAACATCAGCTCTCTCTCTGCTGGGAAGAACATTTCTTTGCTAGTTTACAGGTATTCTACTCATCTTTCAAAACACAAAGCAACACTCCCTCAATGAAGGCTCTCCTGCCCTTCCAGTTCACAGCGGCCCTGCCTCAGGGCCCCTTAGCCCCTCTCTGCACCACACTGTGCACTGAACTGCTAACTGCAAGGTCAGCGGTTCAAACCCACCAGCCGCTCCTCAGAAACCTTATACAAGGTCACGATGAGGCGGAACTAACTCTATGATGCTTAACAACAACTCAGATGGTATGGCACGGTAAGTGAAGCACTTGAATGCTAACCTCACGGTCAGCAGTTCAAATCCACCAGTCACTCCTCAGAAACCCTATATAAGGTCACTAGAGTTGGAGGCAACTCTATGGCACTTAAACAACAACAATCTACATATCTGTCTCCCCAACTAGACCACAGACTTCAAGGGCCAGGGATGTCTCTCGGTTGGTTTTACATCTGTAACACTTAGCACAATTCCTGGTAAAAACAACAAAACAGGTGTTCAATAAATACGTTAATAATTAACCCATGCAAGGCTGCATTTAATTGTTTTTTTGAGCACTCCAGCTAGTACCTTAGCGTGAAAAGGTACTTCATCAGTCTCCTGCACAGAGCCCGGTCCAGTCTGACTTGCTCCCATTTAGTTTACAACAATGGTCAATGGACTGCAACCTCAAGGCCGATCCAGGGGGCTTCAAAAAGTTCGTGGAAATAAATATCATTCTCAAATGTCCATTAACAGAAAAATGGTTCAACCAACTTTGGTATATATGCACAATGTAAAGAATGGTGACCAATCTGCTATATACCTCAAACAGGGATGACCCTGGAGGACACTATGCTGAGTGAAATGAGTGAATCACAAAAGGGCAAACAGTGTATGAGACCAATGTTGTATAAAGAAATTTTATAAAAAGGTTTTCTTGACAAAAGAACCAATCTATGGTGGTTATGAGGTGTCGGGGGTAGGTGGGCGGAAGAAAAATGTTTCACGGGCTGGAGGTAGGTACATGTTAACATGGGTGAGAGAGCAGGTCATATCCAACAAGAGGGAGGTCAGCAGAGGAAACAGAGACGTACCAGGAGACAGAGCAATGCAATGTGAAAGTGAACAGAAGTAATTACTATTAACTGTGGGTTCATGGAGGGATTTGTAATCATTATAATGAAAGCAAAGTCTATGATTTGTTAAATGTAAAATTGATGATCTGCTCTGTAAACCTCCACTCAATTCACACAAAAAAAGTTTTAAAAAAAGAAAAATACTAATACTCTCTTTTCAGTCCATTTTTCCACAAACTTTTTGACGCCCCTCAAAGTTTGTATGGCCCATGAGCTAAAATGATTTTTATGCTTTTAAATGGTAGGGGGAGGGAATACTTATGTAAAATTCAAACTTCAGTATCCACAAATGAATTTTATTAAAGCTCCACCGTGTTCCTGCAGCTGCATATGGTCTATGCTGGCTCTCAGAGCTGAGGAACTGTCATGGAGACTGTGGCCCACCAGGCCTCAAACACTTACTGTTGGACCCTTTACAGGACAAGTGTGCCAGCCCCTCATTTGGAAGATGCAGGCGAAATAAGCTAACCAAACGAAAAACTGTCTAATGCATCCACCGCAAGAAAGATGCTTATACAAAAATCCACACTAATTCTAGAACACTGGGTTAACATAGCCCAGGAGGAAAACCCTCACTGAGCATCTGTGATTTTGATTCAATTCTTTCTACATAAATAAGAATCATCCAGTGGTTTTGAACACTAAATCCTCTCAGACATATTTGAGCCGAGAGAGGTGACATGGAACTGGAAAGCTGGGCCACCATTGCTCACTGTCAACTAACAATGTGCTGAATGACGAGTTAGGACATGACAGAGGGCGATTCTCACAAGACTGAAGAGAAAACAGAAGCCCACTTCATTTCTTTAGTGGCCTGAACTTCCCTGGCTACAGGTCCCACCCCTCCCACCCATCATGCAACTGAGAGGGCCACTGATTCACGCCTGAATTCTGGAGGCAAAATGACCTGGAGGCTGCAGGTCCAGTGGAAGCCCTTGTGTGACAAGCAGGACAAAAAAATGAGCATGGATATTAAAAATTTTAGTTTTAAGCTGTTTTTATCATTTCAGCCAGGCAACAGCCATCAAGGGGATGCTATATCTCACTGATAATATTTCTTGTTGGTGTTGTTAAGTGCCACTGAGTCAGTTCCGACTCAGAACCACCCTGTATAGGGTTTCCAAGGCTATCTTTATAGGAGCAGAAACCCTTATCTATCTTCCAAGGAGTGGCTGGTGGGTTTGAACTGCTGACCTTGTAATAGGCAGTCCAATGCTTATCCTAAATGCCTGTTTATCCAGTGCTCATAGACTTCTCTTCTTTGGGGGAAAAAAAGGACAGGGGAAAAAAAAAAAAAATCCCTGTAGGACTTTTGAAACCACTCACCTTACAGGATCGAAGCAGAAAAACACTAGTGATCTCAGAAATATAATAGTTATCAAATACTGAATAGTCACTTGAAGACGTTTTCTCCAGCTTCTTCACTTTGCCTTCGTAGCGTGAGCTATAAAAATCACTGCCATACCTGGCAAAGCTGAATATCCCCACGCCTACGGAGACAGGAAAAGCAACAGCACAATGAGAGGAAAACTGCTGAGGGAGGAGACAGAGCCCGCTAGAGTGCCGTCAGTAAGGACCTAGCCTCACTTCTGTGCTGCAGTCTAACGTGCCTCAGGTTTGCCAGCACATTTCCCCATCAAATCTCCTGTGCCCTGGCCTCCGACACTCAGTGGAGTCCTGGTGCATCGCTGTAGGATAAGCACTGGACTGCTTACCGCAAGGGTGGTGATTTAATTCACCAGGCACTCCTCAGAAACCCTACACAGGGATGCTGAGTTCGAATTGACTCATCAGCAGCTTACAATATAACATGAAATAGACTTGAGGTCAAAGTCTTCAAGAAACCACAAGTTCCCAGAGAGTTTGGTTTTGTTTCCACCCCACTCCCCTTATAAGAAATACTTTAATCAAATAGTCCACATCAAGTGGTCCAAAAGGAATCATGGAGAAACAGTACATGAACAGCAAGCACAGTCATGACTGGCCTCCTTAAGAACACAATCAACAGAGCTCAGTTTCATGAATATGGCTGAGGGTCCTGACCCTCCCTCCCGCAGCGTCACTGAGGGATACTGCCCTGCCCACCGTCCCTGATGTCTCGGAGTTGTGGTTTTAGGCCAGGTGCCTCTGTCCCCTCCTCAGCCACAACTGACTACACGGGCATGGGCATTCGGTCCCAAGAGAGCCAACGTATACGTTGACCAATGAGCTTTCATTTATGTGGCTAGTTTTTGTTTTTGTGTTTCTTTAAAGAGCTGGGCCAATCAGAGAGTCTTGGAAATTTCAATCAAGAAGCAGAAAGGTAGGGTGGGTGGGGAGAGAACACATACGAGGGGGCCACATTCCTATGAAACCAGAGGGAGCAAAGGGGCCAAAGAAACAGATGTCACAAGACAAGAAACCCTGAGACCCCTAAGAGGGAGGCAGGGAGCAGCCAACTCTTAAAACGCTTAAAGTGCCGGGCTGCTCATAGCTTCCATTTCTAGGTTCTTTTCTCTGGCCATTTGGAAAGGTTGCTAAGTATCGTCGAGTTGGTTCTGACCCACAGTGACCCTGTGTAGGGCTTCCGAGATTATAAATCTTTGCTGGAGCAGAAAGCCTCATCTTTCTCCTGCTTGAACTTGAACCACCGACCCTGTGGTTCGCAGTCTAGTGCTTATCCTATGGAACTACCCTGCTCCCCCCTTTACAATAATCTCCCCCTTTTATTCTAGGTGACTGGTACTTATAATGGATAAGCACTTGACTGCAAGGTCAGTTTGAACCACAAAGTTGGCAGTTCAAACTCACCAGCTGCCCCTTGGAAACGCTATACAGGGTTGCTATGAGTCGGAACCAACTCAACAGCAGTTAACAAAGAGCAGCAGCACGTGTAATAGCTAGCACTTATCAAGATTATCAGCAAGTACACCAAGAGAGAAACGCAGGTATTACCTTCATCAACACAACAACCCTATGGGATGGGGACGACCTCGTTATGAAAATGAAGAAACTGAGGCTGAGGAACTTGTCCAGGGTCACACAAGGTGAACACAGGGTACCGAGGGTCTTGTAGGGTGAAAACACTCAAGCCTAGGAAGCCTAAAGTCTCTATGGTACTGCCACAACCAGAGTCTGTAAAGGAGTCCAGTCCAAAGGAAAAGGGACATAGGGTGGGAAGACTCCAGTCCAAAGGAAAAGGGAGGGAGGGAGGGAGAAGACTCCTTTAACAAGTAATGCAGTCCACATACTTAGATACATGGTAACAATACAAACAGCATAATCTCTTACAAATAGAGATTATACTGTTGTTGTTTTTAACTGTTGTCCAGTTGGTCTGACGCACAGTGACCCTGTACAGGGTTTCCGAGGATTGGCTGGTGGGTTTGAACCAACCTTGCAGTTCAAACAGACCTGTGGTCTAGTACATTCTCCTACAGCGCCACACCAGGACTCCGGAGACTATACTACCTCTAATTAAAAGCAATTTGGAGATTCCCTCAAAATGCTGCCCTAGTATTTTTGTAATGCAAAGGGACGAGTTTTTCACCTACCTGGTCACTGGGGCACTAGGAGTCAGAACCGACACGACAACACTTAACACCATCTGATCACTATGGCATGATGCTGTCGGACAAGCACTGGACTGTAAGATAACCACAAGGCTGGTGGTGTTCAAACCCACCAGCCGCCCCTCAGAAACCCCATATAGGGTCGCTATGAGTCGGAAATGACTCGATGGCACTTAACAACAAAATGATTACTATATGAAAGAAATTTATTAAATCGCTTATTAATAGATTGCTTATTTAAATTGTCACGTTCAACTTTAACTTCCCATCGGGTTAAACCCAGGGCAGCATGCAGAACTCTGCCAACTGGAACAGCTAAGGTTCTGAAACTTCAGATTGCTCTAGTGAGCAGGTGATCCTTGCTTACAATGCATCCTTCTGGATCTTAGACTCACAACTGCTGGCTTCTTCTGAGGGAGGATCCTGCCATCTGCATTTTAAGCTAATTTTACCATGTAATTAAGAAGAGATGCAGGGATCTGGGTATCATCTCCAAGGTTTCCCATGAAGGTAGTTCCGAGATAGGCCCAGGAATCTCCACTTCTAACAAACCTCTCAAGGTAACTCTGATGCTAGAACACCCCACGCTGCATGTTGAGAAACCCCAGGGGCACGGTGCTTTTCTGAAGGCAGGTTATGTTGTGAAGTACCATCAAGTCCTTTCTGAGTATAGCCACACTATACAGGGCTTCCAAGGAGCCGATGGTGGGTTTGAACAGCCGACCTTGTAGTCAGCATTCCAGTACCTATCCTCTGCTGACTAACTGCTACTGCTGTTGTTGTCGAGTGCTAGTGAGTTGGTTCCGACTCACCGAGACCCTGTATAGGGTTTCTGAGGAGCACCTGGTGAGTCTGAACTACTAACCCTGCAGTTAGTTCAAACCTGCCTTGCAGTCCAGTGCTCCTACTAGCGGCTCATAAATTTAATTTAGAAAATGTTTAAGAATGAAATCCACTAGAAAATATCCACTAGTTAATTACACAGACCAAAACACACCCAACCCACAGCCTGTGGGCTCGACTCTGCCACAAAGTAAGCCTCTGGGACACAGGGGAACTGCTCACTGGGGTTTTCGAGGCTGTAAATCTTTATAGAATCAGACTGCCTCATTGTTCTCCCAGAGTGAATGGTGGTTTCAAACTGTCGATCTTTCGATTAGCAGCACAACACCAAACCCACTGTGTCACCAGGGTTCCAAACTGCCCATGGAACATGTTAAATGTTGTTTTGTTTAGTCTTTCATTCAGATCTACATATATTCTACATGTGGCTATTGTTACATGCTGTCGAGTTCTGACTCAGTGATGCTGTACAGGTGGGTTTGCAGTCCAGTGCTTATCCTACAGTACCACATCAGGAGTCCAGACTGTATGTGGAGAGAATTGTTGTTAAGTGCCATCCAGTGTTATGAGTTGTCAGTTCCAACTCATGGTGACCCTGTAGAGAGGGTTTTGAATTGCGGAACTTGTGGTTCGCAGTCCAGGACTGATCCTACAGTGCCCTACCCAGAGTCCACAGAAAGAATATCTATCTACAAATGTAACTGGATGTTCTTTCTTTCCATAGCTTTCCATTCTCTTTACATACTCCCTATTTCATTTCTGAATTGCTGGCTGTGACCTGCCTGGCTCATCCACTGAGACGCACAGCTCTGGAGGGAGTATCAATAAAGACCATTTATGTCACAGTGTCTACTATGAGCTCCTGCTGTTTGTTGTGCGTACACATGCACTGATTAGAATTGGTTTCTATGTGCCAGGCAGTATGTAGTTGTTCTTAAGTGCTGTTGAGTCACTTTCAACTCATGGGAACAGGATTTCTGAGGAGTGGCTGGTGGGTTTGAACCACTGACCTCACGGTTAGCAGTCCAGTGCTTCTCCAGCGCCACCCTAAGACTCTGGCCAAGCAGTACAGCAGATACAAAGAAACACAGCTATTCTCTTCCAGAGCAGTATTTCTCAGACTGAGCCCCCAGTAGACTGGGAAATCAACTAGGGAGGGCTGGTGGCAGCACGGATCAGCCCCAGCGGCATACACCAGATGATCTCTAGGAGGAAGATGAAGCAGGCATGGCTTCTGTAAAGGCTAATTGCCTTGGAAGCCCTGGGGGGCAGGTGCTCTCTGTCCTGCACGGTCTTTTAGAATCGGAATCAACTTACCAACAGTGGGTGTGGGTTTTGGTTTTTAGCGATATTTTCAAAGCTTGCCAAGGATTGCAGAGTTAAGCTAACTGCGAACTACACTGGGTTAAATAGCACTTTATGAAAACCGTAGGGATCCCATGTCCATATGAGCAAACACACAACTGTAGTTCATTCTGTGTGTCCACAGAAAACCTGCTCAATGCAGGAGCAGCGGCTACAGAAGATTCTGCTGCATAAAGAACTAGACACACAAACAGCACCTTCTTGCTTCCTGGGTGAACAAGCCTGGGGAGATGTTTGGGGAGGACAGATACTGCCCAGGAAGGAGACGCCTAGGAGGAGGGATACTGCCCAGGAAAGAGACGCCTAGGAGGAGGGATACTGCCCAGGAAGGAGACGCCTAGGAGGAGGGATACTGCCCAGGAAAGAGACGCCTAGGAGGAGGGATACTGCCCAGGAAAGAGACGCCTAGGAGGAGGGATACTGCC